TATATATATAGAATTTTATTTTATATAGAGAGAGAATTTTATTTTATATATATAGAATTTTATTTTATTTTATTTTATTTTATTTTATATATATATATGGTCTATGCCACTTTAGATAGCAAGTAGATGTGTGTATGTTTAAAGCTTATGTGCCATCAAGTTGTTGTCAACTCCTAGTGACCACACAGATACTGTAGTTCTTCTCCATGATGATCTATCCCTAACCTGGCCCTTCAGGTCTTTCAATGGAGTGCCCATGACCACTATAACTGAGTCCACCCACCTTGCTGCTCTCCTTCTCTTTCCTTCCACCTCTCTCAGCATTAGATCCTTCTCCAGAGAGAAGGTGCATAAGGTGTCCAAAGTAGGACAATTTGAGCCTGATGATTGATGGTTACTGCATTGAAATAAAAATTAATAAAAGTCCTTACTTATGTCAGAATTCTTCCTGACCTCAAGATTTCTATGTGTGGGGGCCTCTTTGTATATAAAGTCTATATAAGGACTTCTGGGGAAAGATGGTAGACTGATGTCTATTCTGTCACAGAAGTTCTGCCTACCTGCCATTTGAAGTTAGTTCACTAGGTGTAGCTGCAGTCCTAGGAACCCTTGTGCTTGTGAAGACAGTCTTTCCCAACCGTTGGTCCCTCAGGTATGTTAGGACCTCAGTTCTTAGCCAGGATTCAATCCACTTGAAAGAACAGACTTTCAGTCCTGCGTTTGGGTCAGCGGGAGTAATTGTGATCAGAGGTGCTGCAGTCAAAATTGGCCATGGCTCCATCCTTGTGACTGAAAGTTTCTAAAAAAAAAAAAAAAAAGGCCAAATGCTGGCCAACTCAACTTTTATTTCCACCCATTGTTTACTCACTCCTTTGAGCTGCATCCAGCTGCCATCCTCTAACTCTATCCTCTTCATTCCCTTGTTTTGTGCTTTTTGGAATTCTTTGGTGTGGAAGGCCAAGAGCTTTACCCAGAGGGCAGATGTTTTAGACCCCCCTACACAGAGAGACCCCCATCCAAAATACTGTTCAGGATTTATCTAGTGAATCAATTGTCTTTATTCAAGGCACTTAAATAAGTCAAAAACACCACTCCAAGAGTTCTTTCACTTCTTTGAATTGTCCCACACTTTTCTATTTACTGGGCCATTGACACCAATGGATAAAAATTACATAGGATTCAATAGAGGAAAGATTGGAGGATGGGGCCAAAATTGTCATTTTGCTCTCAAGTCTTCAATTCATAGAAATGTCCTGGAGAGGACTAGAATGTGGAAGGATGGTGTTCAACTGTGTAAATATGTGTTCAGTCATGGCCCCTTTCCTAAACTGTCTTGAGATCCCCTGGCAGGGTAATCAGATTATGCCGAAGGGAGAAACCAAAGCAGAACAGCTCATTTCGGAAGGCCAATGGCATGTGCTAATGTAGAGGGAAGAGGAAATGGAATGGCCTTGAAGGACAGGAGGAAGAGCCACTACCGAAGCAACAGTCAGATAAGCAGGGCTTAAGTCTGGGCCAAGAAACTAATTGGAGAAAACATTTCAGACAAGCCTCTCCCTAGTTCACAGCACATTCAGACTTGCAAGATTCTGTTACTATACCTGTTTACAATAAAAGTAGTCCTGACCTACATGGCATTGGTTCTTTAGTCTGGTCTACCTCGTAGGGCTGATAGCTATAGAGGACTTTCCTTATTTACTTCTACAGCCAGCTCAACAATACATGTCATGATTACAATCACATAACTTTCTGAGTCTCTTGCTGAGGGTCTCTGACCCAAAGGCAGCCTAGTTGTGGATCAAGAAGCCAAAGCTCGGGGGTAGTGAGCTCCGGATGCTATTCAAGGCAGGAGAATGAGAAACAAACATCTGGTTATTCAATTGTTTGTTTTTATTAAAGTTAGTATACCAGCCATTTACAATCAATCATAAAATCCATATTAAAATCAGACGCCTGTTTAAAAAGATGTGGTTTTAGGGACTTGGTCCTTAGAAAAGTTCCCGTGCAAATTCTTGAAATGAGTAAAAACTGCAATAACCTTGACAGCTGAAGTTCAGGATGGATTGAATTTTTCAGATTAGACTACCACACCACTAGGGTTTTCTGTCTCTGCCACTAACCCATCTTACATTACCCTTTGCCTGGCATGTGTGACAGATCTTACCAGCATCTCCCAATTATTCACAGCCCTCTCAAAACCGAGGGTGCCCCCTAAATGACAAATACTGGTTTTGCTCCCTCTGCTTTGCCTTTTGTTAGCAAAAGTGCTCTTTGCACCAAAACATTCCATTATTAAAGCCCAAATGTCATTTATTTGCAGCTACCTTTAAACGTTTTTCATATTACCTGAAATGTCATGACTGCTAGAAATTTTGGCACTGCAGAAACATATATTAGGTGGTTCCATTTTCTTGGTTTTGCTTAAAAAACAACACACTTACCCCCCGGGAAACTTTTACATATTTCATTCATCCCTAAAGGCAAGATGATTAACATTTGGCTTTTAATAGCACACTTCCCATTTTTTTCTCTGCTAGCCGATCCATGTTCGTGAGTTAAAAAAAAAAAAAAAGGAAATGCTAATTCTTCGGGCTTAATCCTGAGAAAG